TACCCAGTGCCGTACGCGCCGCGTCCGGGCCACGTTACCTCGTAACGCAAACGACTTTACCGACAGACTCGAACGATCGTAACGTTAATTTACATTTGAAATTGCCTGTGCGATCCGCCGCCTCACGAATCCACGTGATTCCCGTACAAAGTGGCCGGCTCGGCGCCGCCACCCCTGGGTTCACCGTGCTTCGGCCTTATCCGTCCCCTCCAAATTTTACCGACCGAGTAAGACGAAAGCAAAAACGAAAATTCAAGTAGAAAATCAAACAAATCAAGAGCGGATCATCCGCGCGACGTATGAAACGAAATTTCTTGAAACCTCTCGTTAATTCTCATTGGCCATTCGTTTTACACAGTTTTACATGTCGACTCAGTTTATCTACAAGGATGAGTGGGTGGGTAGGAGGGGGTCTCTCTACGTGTCTCTCTCTTTCCTTAATTTTGTCTTGTTTTTTCCCCGCCGTAACTTTATTCATGGAGACTGATTGGATAGGAGAGGGGGGAGGATCACGTGGATCTTAATCATGGTGGTACGATGACTGACGGTGGTGATAACGGGTAATTCGGTGGTGATTAGGGGATAATTATTTAAAGAATTATCTACGCGCTTCGTCTATCTTAATTAATCGAAGAACGAACAGCGACCGATTAAGTATCATTATTAGTATCACAAATAAAGTTTTTTTTTTTTTTTTTTTTTTTTTTTTTTTTTTTTTTTTTTTTTTTTTTTTTTTTTTTTTTTTTAATTTTTTTTTCTTTAAAAACATCTCGTTCGTCACTCAACGATCACAATTACAGCAAATAGGTTACGAAATACTCTCCCCGTTCGCTAAATCCACTTCCCTAGTTGCCATCGGTCATTTTTTTTTCGTATTTTTTTTTCCTCCGCTTTTCGCCATTCCTCTTTACACGCTCAGTGTCGTATTATAATGTATAAGTATGTATAGGATTTCACGCCGCATTCCGGAGGCCTCGGTATTTGCCTTTCGTACTTTTTCTTTTCCCCCCCCCTCCCCCCACCCTTTTTTCTCTTACATCTCATACACATGCAACATCTACGACAACGATCTTCGTTTTTTCTTTAATATAAAAATACAAAAAATAATTTACAAAATTATATATTACACGCGAGTCGAAACGGTTAGAATAATTCGATAAATTTCAAGAAACGTTTCACGCACAAACTTCGCTCTGTATTCAATATGTGAAGATCGAAATCATGACATCACTAACGCAAAAAGAATATACATATATATAGTAGTATATATATATATGTGTATATATATATATATATAACCGATATTCCACTTTGTTTTTAAATATATTTATTTCTTACGCGCTCTCTGTGTCCTGTGTAATATTTCCGAAATCGTCTTTCCAATGAATTCTCTGTTTTTCTGTGTACGTGTCTCTCTGCGTGTGTGTATAGCCCAGTATACTGCATAAAAGTCGTAAGAAATAGTGAAAAAGAAAAAAAAAACAGAGAAACGAGAAAAATTCATTACGCCTAGTATAGTTATCAAATCGTCTTTGTATTATTAACAAAAATATAATATTATATATATATATATATTTATATATGTATATCTCGCGACACGCGCGAGGACACGGAAAGTCGGGGCGTCGCGGACAATAATATCTCGAAGACGCGCATGCGCAGGACTCCCGTCTCCTCGCTCGTGTCTCACGCATAAATTCCAAAGTATATATATATATCATACAAAAAAACAATAACAAACTATGAAAAAGAAAACGCGATAATACATGGGTTAGGAGAAGTGATGAAA